AAAGTTTAAAATTATGATGAATGGCAATCATCTTGTAAGTAAATAAAAGGAAAATATAAAAGTGTATAAATTAGATTGAATGAATCTTAAGAGCAAAATATTAAGAAAAAGTATTGACAAACAAGAAGATAAAATGCAAAAAACTACAGCTCATAGTTGTCAAAAGAAACAGGCTTCTAACGTATTTAACTAAAAGTTTTTACAGATTAAAACACAATTTTTGGCTTTGAGCTCTTAACCATGCACCGCCGATGAAACCTATCTAGTATCCCGGGATGTCCTTATGAGTCCTCTCACTAATATCTACATCCTGATAAAAGAAATTTTTCCACATGTTATCTAATCCAATAAAGCTCCATCAGACCCACTTTTACGTTTTACCCTTAATGTCACGATTTTATAGCCAATAAATGTCATGTCATGATTAATAGCACTAGTCTTTCTTTCTTTCTTAAAACTCTATCCAGTCAAATACTTTCACATAAAATGGGAAGATTGCCCTGTCAGAAATGTATTCATTCTTAAAGGTTCTAGTATAGTTGACTGATGTGTTAAAAAGATAGCACATTTATATGGTTTTTAGACCTGTCATTTGAATCATATTGAAAACTCTGCTTTGATTTATGACAAAAAAAAAGAAGAAAAGAAAAGTGTAACTGCTGTGAAGCATCTACTTACATTTTTTAAACATTAATCCTTGTCAGAGATCATTCTTTAAACGCTATGAAATATCATACGTATACCGGCGAGCGATTGGCCATTCACCCCCAAACCGATATCTGCAGGTTTTAATTTTCTTCCATAGTTTCTTTTGACTGAATAGAGAAATGCTGGCTATTTTAGTTCATAATTTCATTTAATAGTTATTAACTGAACTGTAGGGGGACTTCGATATTATTGGAGGGGAAACAGCTTTAACTGAGTCAGAAATAATTAAGGTAAGTGTATTTGCATCTGTGCTGTTAGCCTCAATTTTGTGAAACATGACCTGTTCCGCTCTACTCATTTCCAAAGCATCAGAAGATTGATTTTCCTGTAGGCAAAGAATCCCGAATTCCTAATCAGAGATACAATGTAAAGAGATTTCCTACATTTTCATGGTTGATATTCCATTGTTGAGCTTGAGTCACTTGGTTTAATGCTTTGTGATCCAGATACATCCTGCATCCTACTTATTTCCTTTTAATACAGGCCACAATGGACATTATTCTTCATTACTTCCATTCTGAATCATGTGATATTCATTTGAATCATGCGGATCTTTTGGACGCAATTTGGGCTTGGGCAGGAATCAGACCAGAACACAGGCAAAAAGTTGCAGAGGTATGGAATCAAAGTGCCATGTCAAGATACCTAGCTTATTGTGTCTTTGAACTCACTTGGATGCTTGTGTTAATCTCTTTTTCCCATATTTGAAGCTTCTTTCCCTTTTGGGTTCCTTGCGTCCTCAATCTTCTGAAAGAAAGACGAAATGGGTGGTCATCAGGCGACAACTTCGACAGGTGATATATTTTGTCATAGACCACTGTTTTTTCATAAGATTCTGGAACTGTTGTTTCTGTATGCTATCTTTTGTGGAAAAAGAGATACATGTGATTATGCCTGCAAGCTATTGGCGGTTTGTGCTATGTTCTTAGATGTCCTGGGCCGCATGCACGCTATGCTGCTGTTTGAACGAGGTTAAATTGGTGATATACGCATGTATTAAAAAAGGAGTCCAATTATGGTGCATACAAATTGTGTGTACCGAACTTGCTGCATAATATAATTAGTTGAAGGTCTGACAAGGGACTTGTTGAATATATGTACAAGATGATTATTCAACTTTATGAACTATATCATAATGTTTAACGATTGTACCATATCTATGACAAAATGATCATCAATTTCTATGAGGATGGGTGGACCTTCTATGAGATGCCAGATTTGGTGTAATATGAAGTGCAATTTGATTATCATACACAAGCTCCATCTAACTGACATTTCGGAGTTTCAATTTTTTGATCCATGTGAATTCAGAGGTTGCCACTACTAAAATACGACATCTGCTTCTACATTGGATTTTACAACTACATCCAGTTTCTTACTCTTTCAAGACACTAAGTTGTCTTTTAACCAGAATGTAGTATCCGAAATTAGATCGTCTGTCAGAGGGTGACCGTGTGTACCCAACAATCTACTCATGTCTTTGATCCTTAAGAAGTTATCCATTTCCATGTACCAATAGGATACAAATCAATGTATTCCAATTAGTATTACACAGAGAATTCAAAAACTTATTTACAAAATTCACCGGAAATCTAAGTTGCTCCGACACGGCAGTTTAGGTGTTGCACCCGTGTCGACACGACACTAGTATGGTGTGGGTATGTGATTCGTACCGGATCTGGTCAAGCAATTTTATGTACTTTGACCACGGCAGACAGAAAAATTCAAGACGAGAGATACAATGTGATTCCCGAAATCAGAACTAACACTAGGGTAAATTTGAAGAAAATAGCATACCTTATCCAGGAAATCGATCCTTTACTTTTCTACAGAATAAAAAATTATCCACAGTTTACTTTTCCACAAAATTTCTCATAATTTAGAGGTACTTTTTTTTTTATTTTTTTTTATTTTTTTGAATTATTTTTAGTCGGATCCCCGCATCCGTATCCGTACTAGAATCCGTATTCCCGAATCTTAGAATTTACATCCCGAAGGATCTGACCTCTAGATCCGCACCGGTGTCTGAGCAACTTAACCGGAAATGCATTATCAGGTCGTATCACATGGTGTCACATCTTGATAATTTAACTTGCCAACCAACCTCTTATATCTTTCAGAATAGAAGTTTCCCCTGACCTAGTACAATCTTATCACGCTGGTAAGTCAAGAGGCTATATTCTGTCATCTGTGTCTCCTTTAGAACATGAGCAACATCAATACTCAGGAAGTACTTCAACTTATCTAAATCCTTGGTCTGAAAATGTTGAAAGAGTTGATGCTTCCACTTAGCGATGCTCTCTTAATTATTACTTATGATAACTATATGATCAAATAAACCACCAAATACATGTACATATTTGGAGCATAATGTCGATAGGATAGAGAATGATTTCACTATCGGTCTTGAATAATTGTGTTAAACATACCAAACCGTATATAAAGGTCTGCTTTTAACCATACGGTGTTCTACGTAATCAACAGACCAGCCTATTAAAATCCCCTTGATCAACAAATCTTGATTGTTGTTCCTTGCATACCTTATCCTCTAGAACCTTGTGAAGGAATGAATTATTGATATCCACTTGATAAAGAGGTCAATCCTCACCTCTTGATCTAGCTTTTGGGGTTGAGTTAGGTCCAAGGACCATTTCTTTAACAATAGCCATGGACAAAAAGAAAGATGGAAGCAATCTTAGCCACACGAAAGAGCTAAGATTCATAATAATCTTAGCAATCTTAGATGAGTCCACTAATTGATGTGTTAGATAGTTTTATGTATACAGTGGGTTGAGTGTCCCACATTGGAATATGCAGATTATGTACTATGTATAGACATAAATAAGGCTCTTTGAATAGTTAAGGAATGAATCAATAATATTTTACCCATGCTATTTCTCACATGGTATCAGAGTGTTGGTGAGATAATTATCGTTTTGCATTATTCCAGCGACATCCGGGAAACAATTTTCCGGTGACCTAAGTGGCTGTTCGCATCATCCTTCAGATCTGACAGTCGCATCATCCTTAAATTGATCAATATGACCATTATGGGCCAACCTTCACTATGTACACCATTGGCGGCAACTGACAGCCAGGACAAGAAAGTGCTTTACCAGTAGACTTAGGAGCTGAAATATCTGACAAGGATGACACAAAGGCATAATGGAATAATGATATGTGATGATAACGTAGAATGGTCTAAATTGGATGAGGATTATGAGTAGAAAGAACCTTTCTAGCATACTAGAGGACCATGGAGGAGGCAGGTTTAAGCACGTAAAGGATCTGGTTCTGCATGTGAATCATTCAAACTTAATACGGGGTAGTGTTAACAATAGAATTTCCAAAAGATGAGACAGGTAGAACCTCATAGATTCCTAGGTGTTTAGAAGGAAAAAATGTGAAATAAGGGTGAGTTTAATAGAAGGTGACATCAGCTGACATTAGGTATCCAGTGTGGTAAGGGAGGCAATGACAGTTGAGTCCCCTATGCGCAATACTGCTTCCAAGCTGAAATTCCTGCAGCAAGCCCTTCTCTGCTGGTTCCCCCTCTTGCGCGGTTGCGCTGGCCAAATTTCCAAAACTGCGTGATTGTGCCTGGTGCAGCGTGATCATGCCTGCACCAGATATCAGATTTTCAGGTTTGCTGATTTGGGGTTCTAACATGTACGAAATCACCCCAAGCCCCCGGGTCTCAACCTCAACCATCCCAACAAGTCCCATATAGTTATACGAACTTATTCAATGCTTCAAAATACAAATTAAATCATAAATGCACGAAATTAAGGGTCGGATTGTTACAAACAAACATAAGTAATGTACCACCAGAAGAGTGAAGGGTGCAATAGGAGAAGAACAGAGAAATGTAGAAATGATATAAAAGAATAAGGGAGGATAGAGGGAGATCATTTCATAATGTATTATTCATCAAGTAAAGTATTATTCAAGTAATTTCTTCCAAACAAAGTACACTGCTTTCCTATTCATAGGATTATTATGAATTAAGACGGACTACTAAAACAATTAGAACTCTATCGCTGACTAAAAGGAAAGACTCTCTATGCCTCCCTTAAATAAAAGGGAAAGACTTGATGAATCTCATGTGTAAGATAAGATTATCTATATTATTTTCTTGCTAATAACCCAAAGTTTAAAAAAAAGAAGATAAAATCTTATCTCTAAGATTAAATCATCTCTATTTTATGTCTGACTAATTGATATAATATTAAGCAATACCGATGTCCTCATTACCTACATCATTAAGCCGTTGAATCTTCAAAAATATGGTAGGGGCTGTAGACTCTATGTAGAAATTTCTATGGAATGTGAAGGTAAAACTACACAAAAGTGGTTTTTCGCATCTTTGACTGACTGTGAACATTTATAACTTACCTTAATATTGGGTTTCTGGTACAAAATTTGTTTTGAAGTGCAAATGACACCCTTGAAACACTTATGCTACTATAATACCTGATACCACATTCTATTAAGAGAGCTTTTGAGGGGAAGAAAATTAATTTTGTATTGAGGGTTTATCTTTTGACTTGGTAAATTTTGGTGCTCCCCTGTGGTCCTCATTTGTGTAGATAATCGGTTGTCATTTGTAGAGATATATATTTTTCTGTAGGACCTCTAATTTTTGTATACCTCTTCTTTATCGAGGTTTCCTCACAACATCAACAAATTTAATATGTTAAAAAAATGCCCAAAACCAAAATGTTGGACGACCCTGCATCAGAAATAAGAGCCTTAGGAAGGAATAAGTATTGTTTGTACTTGTGGGCCATAGTCATTACAAAAGAAATTTCCTTGAATTTAGCTTTTTCAGTATGAGGTAGAAGCAATTTTAAGACCAGAAGTTGTTCTTCAGTTTGTAGGCCCCGCTTTGATGTTTTATAAACTTTATTCTCCGTAGGTGAAAGAGCAAGTTCCTCAGGATTTTATACATAATGGCATTTTATTTGGATCTGTGATTGGAAAAATTGGGCTTCCATCTTTTTGTTTTCAGGAACTCAATCTTGCAGAAACTGCTGTAAATAGATTACAAACAGTGGGGTTGAGGTTCTGTGGAGTTGCAGACCACGCTCTTCCTCGATTAAGAGGAGCTCTTCCTGCTGGTACATTATTGTTTGTTTCCATATTTAGCCACTTCTATTAGTTGCATGAAGGACGACTTATTTTTGGGTTAATTAATGCAGACAAAACCACCCGCAAGGCACTTGACGATTTGTCAGAACTTTTTAACTACCTACGAGTTTGGAGACTTGATCAACGTGTCTATATAGATGCCCTTATGCCACCAACTGAGAGTTACCACAGGAAGTTGTTTTTCCAGGTATGTGTCCCTTCTTTGTTTCTGGGATGTTTCTGTTGCCCAGTGCTCGTTTCTTTATGTTATAAAATTAAATGATTAAATCCCCATCCACACAACTAAAAATGAGGAAAACTAAGGAATGCTATGAATATTGAATAGCTATTTTTAACTGGACATTCAATTCTACATTTGTGCCTCATAATTTTCTAGGGGAAAAAAAGAGTTGGACCTTGAAGCCATGCTTTTACATCACGAATTGCTAAGTGAATATTAAAGAAGTAATAATAATATGCATTTGATTACTGGCTTCCATTAATATAATTGATGTTTCTAAGCAACATAATTGGTAGCATCTTATCAGTGACGTATATCTGTATCCACAGAGAGTGGTAGCATTTTATGAGTCACGTGTATATGTTCATGCGGAGGAGATTGGTGAAGATAGTCTGCGGCCTTTTTAGCCTTTTTTTCTTGGGGGGGGGGGGGG